TTACACATTTAATCAGTAAAGATTCCCCTGGGCCTGTGTAATGTTGAAGTGAGCATTTCTCTGGTTCTAGAGACAGGCAGCAGGATGAAAGTATGGGTTGTGATTTTGGAGTGGAGGTGGGGGTCATGCAGGTCTTTGATGATCCAGGTGGCAGAGAAAGAGGTTGGGAGGAATTCCTCCACCCTTACATTGTTACATCAGAAATCCTGCTATCTCGTGCAGTTGAACAGCATATTGATCTACTGCCTTTGTTGATATCTGGCATCGTGGGGTGGAAGATGAGCTGCAGAGGTCTTTCAGAATAAGCTCAAACTCATAGGTAAAGAACCACTGCACTGCATTTGTTTTCACTATTGAGTCTTTTATACAGTTATATGAAAGTTTTACAATTTTTGCAGTTGTGTGTCGTGATTACACTGTGTGCTTATGCAGATGCCATCTCTGTACTTTATTTGTACTAAGTACTGCTGGTAAAAACAAAAACAAAATTGCTCAGTCCAGTAGCAAAAAATGAAAGTCTTTGACTTGCTGTTTGGTGAAGTTCTGTCCTTGAGCTCAGCAGTTATGTAAACTGAACATTTAAAATGTGTTAAGACTTAAGCAGTACCTTTAAACAAGCTATAATCAAAACTGAATCCTGAAAAATCTGAGTACACATAAGGATCTGTAATTAAAAACTGTATACAACCTGCCAAGAAATTTCACTCTGTCAACATATCACCCTGCTAATTTGTCTTGATTTTAGGAATCTGTGAAATTGGTTAAAAGGAGCCTTGCTGAGCTTGACAAAGGATAATTGTTTGTTTGAAACACTTATTTTCATATCCAAATGTCAAATGTGGGTATCTTCAGCTGTCTTAAATGAAATTGCTTTGAGATACTGACAGTGGCTGTACTAAGCTAAAGCCTTAAAATGTAAAGTACACTAAAGCAGTGTAGTAGTTATACTGAACATCATGATCATAGCTCAATCAAAATTTCATTTTTGAGTGCATTTGCAAAGTCAGTGCTTGGTGTATTTGCTGCAGAAAAAGTATAATAATAAACAAAATCACAAATAGAGGCAAAGCATGAACTGATGCCAGTGGTACCAACAGCTTGGGTCTAGCACAAGAGAAAAGAAAGAAATAAAGAAGCCTGCTGGGGGAACATAACTCCAGTCTATGTCCCAATGCTGAGAGAGGAAGGGAAAAGAAGATGCAATGCAATATTCTCTTTGGAATTAATTCACTGCCTCTTCTCCAACAGCATCTAATTTAGACATGCTTGCCTTCCTTACTGTCTCAATCTGCCCCTCGCTCTCTGTCTCCCCCACTTTTTTCATCCATCTCCTTTACTATCCACTGTTTCC